CCCCGCCATAAATAATTACCGGTCTCTAAATCGCGTGTAAATTATTCGAAGAACGAACAGGAATCAATGAAAAACGAATCCAGAAATTTGCGTATATATGTACCACACGTACAGTACCTGTCGCATGTCTCCTTGAGCAGTGAAAGTGATAGCTTCCAGTCCGTCGTCTGTTTTTAATACCTGGAAATCCAAACATACATTATTAAGAACTAGAGGGCACTTGCATGGAGACTGCACACCTGCGCAAGCGAATTAAGGTGATTCATCAGTATTAATGAGCCATTCCGAAGATGATGAGAGGACTAGGGACGAGTGTTAAAAAGTGTCCAAATTAAGAACTGAACCAAATCACTAAAAAGACAACCTCAAAATTAGTAAGTATACAAAGTTTGAAGACGTTTACATGAATACCCTTCGAATAATAAGCTTTCGAAAATCGCGATATTCACTGTGGAATGTACTGTAATTTTTGTTTTGGGGATGCGCGTCGCAAAAACAGTCTTTTAATCAGTAATTGCTCAAACGTTGTTGAATTTTTTTTTAACAAGGGAGACATTTTTAGTAGGATCCTTGTTAAAAAATTAAATAACAGTTGAGCAATTGCGAATGTTTCCCATATGGGGGAAAAGGTGGCGTCATATCTTCGAAACGAGTTCGGTGACCCCAACTTTTTTTCCTGTTTTTATTATGAGCATATCATAAACTTCACCCCTGGGAAGTTTCAGCAACCTGGGAAGTTTCATTTCCAGAACAATTACCGATGAATCACCTTAAAGAGTTGCCAAAATAACCGACTGTAATGTCCGTGTGAAATATAAGCGTATCCTCGCTTTATAATGGACCATTCCCCAATTAACCAAAATTTTGATCTCAACAAGTCTAGATAAAATTCCATCATAGCATGAAAGAGCATCACAAAATTACTAATATTCCAAAGTTTCGTTGCGAAATGTTGTAAAATGCGGAAAATATAGCCTTGCGAAGTTTGCAATTTTCAGTCATTTTGTATTACAAACGGGAAATGGTTACCACTTCTGTGCGTAATACAAAATGACTGAAATTTACAAACTTCGCAAGGCTATATTATCCGCATTTTACAACATTTCGCAACGAAACTTTGGAATATTACTAATTTTGTGATGCTCTTTCGTGCTATGATGAAATTTTGTCTAGACTTGTTGAGATCTAAATTTTGGTTAATTGGGGAATCAGTCCATTGACAATCACAAAATCTAAAATCCTAGCTAAGACCCTGCCTGATAGAAGTAAATATATCATGCACGGAACTGAAAAAAGAGATGAAGAGTTCAACCTTTTCTTTATCGCAAATTTCCATTAGTCTGCTTAATATCTGTGCATCACTTAGTTTTGTGTACCGCAGTATAGCACAACGTGACTGGATAGCCTCTGAAAAATACAAAGGTGGTTGTCATAGGAAAATATTTAAAAAAAATACTATCAAGGCCAAAAAAAAATATGTGAGTTTCCGGTTTCTTCTTATAAAAACTTAGGTAGGGTAGGTCGGTTTTAACTTTTTTTTTTAACTTTTTTTTAAATTTCCGAACAAGCGGACGCCATTTTGTTTAGTCAGTGCTTCCACATCCAAAGATAAATTTCCCTAATATTGCCTCAAATTTCAATTTTCCACAAACTTTTTTCTCTAAGTGGAAACACTTACAACCATGATCCAATAAAAAAGTTTAGGGTCGGGATTTCGACGTCCAAAAGCTAGGTAGGGTCGGGAAACCGGAAACCCACATATTTTTTTTTTTGCGCAATGGTAAATTCAAAATCCTTGCTACGGGAAATAGTACTGATCTTAATTGAAAATATTATGGAAATCCAATTTTCATAATAATTGTAATTTCCATACCATAGATATATTACAGAAATATTATAATATAATAACTACAGTGAAACACGCAATTTGATTGGTCAATAGCCGTGCAGGATCAGGCTATCCTGCACGAGGATTAAAATCTTATGCCTTCGCGGGATTTTCGCGGGATTCTCAAAATGTCATTGTTTCAATGTAGTTATTTTATAAAACAATTACCAAATGGTTTTCCAAGCAGGATAGCGTGATCCATGCACTTGGGATGTTGCTCGACTTTCGGAAAGCGTAAAAATACACTCGCCTGCGGCTCGAGTATTTTTACGCTTTCCGAAAGTCTCGCGACATCCCTCGTGCATGGATCGCGCAATCCTGCACGAAAAACCACTCGGTATTCCTTTGTGGATATACAGTACTATGGATTCTAAGTGATGCAATCCCAAATTCTACAGTATGGATTTCACTATTTTTCCCAGTGTTGTACCTAATCTGCCCAGTGTTGTACCTGTTTGGTGTGTCTGACTTTATTCTAACTTTGTTAAAAATTTGAATTATTTGATGGCATTGAACACATATATATCTTATATACACTAGATAGCGCATCTCTTTTAGTAAAATTGAAGCCAATAATATTCCAGCGGTTACCCCCATTTGAATAGATGGCGGCCATGTTGGAGTTTCCCACTCGCTAATAAACGCTTAAAAAACAACAATAACTTTCATCATTTGAATAGTTTGAAAATGTATTTGGAATTTGTTTAACTTAATGTTTAAGTTCCCTGTTTAAGAAATAGAAAACATACGAGTCTTCTCATTTCATGGGAATATCCTGAGTTTGCAATCACGGCTTCAATTTTTGAATTGCAGAATAATTAGATGCACTATCTAGTGTATATAAGATACAGTATCTATGATTGAACATACCAATTATTTTGTCCGATATATTACATGCTAACGCAAATCGCGTTGTTTTTGAAAACACTTCCATCGTTCTTCTTAAGGCTTGTTGTGCTCCATCTGTCATACTAAATAGATAATGTGTTCATACAGTACATGTACACTAATATAAGTTCAAAGTTATAAGTACACAATATAAGTTTTAGTTTTACAACGTTACGATGTTTTACAGAAGTTGTACACACAAAAACCAACCTATCTGCTTCGTCAAGAATAATTATTTTATGTCTTCCTTTGGGTAAGGTAACTTTCTTCTGTGCAAACATCTTGATTCTGTTTCTCACAACATCAATTCCTCTGCAAGAGAAGTTCTTTGATCACTATAATGGAATGCTGGTAATGCATGGTACATATGATGTGGCATTAGTATGGTATGGTATGGTTTGGTATGGTATGGTATATTAGTATGGTATGGTGTGGTATGTAATCTCTGCAAAAGTGCATTATTATTTGTAATGTCAATTGCATGGTATATGATATGGTACTGTATGGTATGCTATGTAGTATGTATGATATGGTATAATACAATATGTGGTGGCATGGCATGGCATGGGAAGGTATGGTATGGTTTTTTTATTATTATTATTTAAAAATATTTTATAACGGTAACCCTTCAGGGCTCATATATACACCTGCTTTTCAAGGGGCCGTTTACATGCATCACACTAATAAAATTTCCTAATATAATATTACACACATATTAAAGCTTAGATAAAAATATTTACAAACAAGTATATGTATAGTACTGAAATCATGTACCGTCAAGAATACATTTAAATTTGTTTAAGCCAATGCCTTTTTCTTTAGCTGCAGTGGGCAGGCTGTTCCAAAGTGATGCAGCAGAGTAACTAAAGCTCTTTTCATAAAGTTTGTTTCCGGCTTTTCAAGTGTATAGTTGTTATCATTACTTCGCAAGTTATACCTATCATTATTTGTTATCATTACTTCGCAAGTTATACCTATCATTATTTTATACCTATCAATTATGGTATGGTATGGTATGGTACTGTATGGTATGGTATTGTATGGTATGGTACTGTGTAGCATGATTAGGTATGGTATGGTACTATGCTATATGGTATGGTACTGTACTATATGGTATGGTAGCTGTCTGTCTGTATAGTATGGTATAGTATGGTATGGTATCTGTATGGTATGGTATTAGTTTTGGTAGGCACACTAGCATAGCATGGTACTGTGTGGCACACTATGGCATGGTATGGCATGTTAAGGAATGGTATGGTACAATACTGTAATAACTGTATAGCATGATACAGTATGGTATGGTATGGTATATAATTGCTTTATTGGCATGACCTTAAATTTACTGGTATTGCTAAAACTATGTATGGTTTAGTGTGATATGCTATGGTATGCGATATGGTTTAGTGTGGTCATATGATATGTAGATTTTGATATACTTTTTCTCTTGCATACCTATCATTTGATGCATTCAGTTCTAAAACTGCCTCTTTAATAGAACCACCAAGTAATGCCATAGCTAGACATAGAATACTGGTTGTCTTTCCTGAACCTGGTGGCCCCTACATAAAATTTATGTTGTAGCATAACATGCAGATAGTGAAGGGTAGTAAGTAGTCATCTGGAAATGGGGTTGCATTATTAGTACTGTATGTTAAAAACTGCAGATGGTAGACTTACTGCAATAATAATGTTCGGTACATTTCCCTGTTCAGCAAAAACCTAGAAAAAAATACGATGCACTTGAAGAAATAGGCGCGCAGTGGAGCCACTGTTTAAGTTACAGTTGTTGAAACTGGATGTGAAGGTTCTTGCTTCAACAGAAACTAATAGAAATTAAGTTCCTTTTAACATAATATCAACTACTATGTCCAAAGTCAGACAGGTACTGACTCGTACCCAGTCGTCGATTACGATTTATATAGATCAGTGGACGGAGGTGTACGTTGGGTAGACATATTGAATAATCAAGTTCTGTACACCAAAAATGTCTAGCAAAAATCAAGTTTCATGTGACAATAGACAATGTTTTTTAACTGTTCATTCTTAATTGCAAACCATGGTGTACATCATTACCATCACCATAATCTTTATCGCCATCAACCTCATCACCACCATTACAATCATCTTTACCACCATCATCATCACCATCATCACCATCATCATCACCACTAATACCATCACCATCATCTTTATAACCATCAACCTCATTACCACCATTACAATCATCTTTATCATCACCATCATCACCATCATCATCACCACTAATACCATCACCATCATCTTTATAACCATCAACCTCATTACCACCATTACAATCATCTTTATCATCACCATCATCACCATCATCATCACCACTAATACCATCACCATCATCTTTATAACCATCAACCTCATTACCACCATTACAATCATCTTTATCATCACCATCATCACCATCATCATCACCACTAATACCATCACCATCATCTTTATAACCATCAACCTCATTACCACCATTACAATCATCTTTATCATCACCATCATCACCATCATCATCACCACTAATACCATCACCATCATCTTTATAACCATCAACCTCATTACCACCATTACAATCATCTTTATCATCACCATCATCACCATCATCATCACCACTAATACCATCACCATCATCTTTATAACCATCAACCTCATTACCACCATTACAATCATCTTTATCATCACCATCATCACCATCATCATCACCACTAATACCATCACCATCATCTTTATAACCATCAACCTCATTACCACCATTACAATCATCTTTATCATCACCATCATCATGATCACCATCATCACCACTAATACCATCACCATAATTTTTATCACCATCATCATCACCAGTAATACCATCATCTTTATAACCATCAACCTCATCACCACTATTACAATCATTTTTATCACCATCATCATAATCACCATCATCACCACTAATACCATCACCATCATTTTTATCACCATCATCATCACCAGTAATACCATCACCATTAACTTTATAACCATCAACTCATCACTACCATTACAATCATTTTTATCACCATCATCATAATCACCATCATCACCAGTAATACCGTCACCATCATTTTTACCACCATCATCATCACCAGTTATTAATACCATCACCATCATCTTTTAACCATCAACCTCATCACCACCATTACAATTATCTTATCACCATCATCATCACCACTAATACCACCATATTTATCACCATCACCACCATCATCAAAATCTTTATCACTATAAAC